CTCTGGTGCGTCAGTGGTGCGCAAGTGCGTGTCTTTTTTTAGAGAACCTCCAAAATGACTGGCTTTTCGTTGGGGTCCATATAAAACCTACAAAGCAGGGGTACCCTCAAAAAAAGACAGACCCACGTATCCCTTGCTGAAAGTTACACATTCATCTGTCACGACATAAATCCATCTAGCACCTAAATACCTTCTGGTCTAAGGGTATGTCTGGGAACAGCCAATGATGTCCAGCCCTTCTGGTGTGTCAATGGACACCTGCAGAACTTTTGGGAGGTCCGAATTCGAATTTCGGTGCAACACCCATATGAGTCGGTGCCCTTTTGGTTTCCCGTACAAACCAATCACAAGGAGACTCCTCTATGTGTGTATATATATATATACAAAAAAGCATGCCTAAGGGTGCTAATCCGGGCACTCACACACAGAGGGTTGCTCCAAACAACCTGGCCTCAATGTTTGGTCAAAGGTAAACCAAAGGAAACCGTTCACTTTCTTTCTACCTTGACTCAGTTGTTCAGTGACCCTGGGAAAAAAAGGATTGGAACCCTTTTTTGGGCTTGGACCATTTTAGTGGGGCCACCAAAAAGAAAGTGGGAAAAAGGAAAAGAATTGGAGCCACTGAAGAACTGAGCTGAGGAACGGTCATTCAAGGAAGCGATCCGGTCCCTTGAGGTTTGCAAAGCAGAGGGTTAATACTGTGGATGGTTGCGAAATCCATTTCGCACCACCGTTCAGAAACCCCGGATTGGTGATTCCCCTGTAAATGCCAATAAACGTTCTGGTTTCCAATGGTTTCAAAAGGGGTGCGAAATGGATTTCGTCCATCCGCAGTAATTATTTCACCACCAGTATTTACCGTCCAGGAGTAACTCATCCAAATTGGCTCCCAAGCTGCCATTCTTTTAGTGGGTCCCAAGACGGATTCCACCCACAAAATGAGGTGGTTGCCTCAAAAATTGGCGAGATACTGTTCTTTCCAACAACCGCAAACAAGGGTGGTGTCCTGTTGGTTTCTATTTCTATCCTGAAAAGGATACCTTAAACAAGAAAACCCAAGTATAACTTGGAAAAGGGTGGGTTCCTTTTCGCTTCCATTTCTTCCACCAAAAAGGATGGCGTCCCTTGCCCAAGGGTTCAACCCCGGATTAAAAGAATAGCGAAGACCCAATGTGGGCAATGAAACTCCCCAGGTAAATGATGGTGGTTATTCTAGCCCGCTTTGTTTTAGCTGGTGGTAACTGAACCCCAGGGCTTTTGTTTCCCTTTAACCCTCAACACCGAAGTATGAAATATACGTCAAACAAAAGAAGAACCGTTTTTTTTTTCCAGGCCCTAGAAAATGAACAGAGCCAATAAGTTTAAACCATTAAACAAAAAAACAAGTTGAAGTTGAAGTGTCTTGAATCGACTCCCCTGGAGAAAAAAAAAAAAAAACGCTCGGAGACGCCTTTTTTTCCCCGCGACCCCAAAAAAAATCAAAACGCCGGCCACGAAGAGGCCTCTGGACCGGAAGGATCGATTTTTGCCTTAAGGCAGGGGGGTGGGTGAGCTGAGTTCCATTTCTCTGTGGCTCAAAATTAAACGATCGGAGGGGTTGCGCAGGTTTTAAACTCCATGTTTCCACTTACCAGGCTTCCATTTTGGAATCCCGGTTTTTTGAGCCACAGCCATTTCTCTGTGGCTCAAAAATCACTCCTACAGGAGGGGGGGGAAGCTTCCTACAGGGGGATGTGGGAGGTTCCATTTATGATCCATCAGGTGGGCTAGGGACCGCAGGTCTTAGTCTTTGGTTCCATTTGCCAAGGGCAAGCCATTTTGGGAACCATGTTTTTGACATCTCTGGACGTGTGGTCATGTGGTCAGGTGGTCAGGTGCTTTACAAAGGAGAAAATGGGTTGCCAATGGAGATCTCCACAAATCGAAATCCCCACTCCCAACTTCCATTTAGGGGGCAGGGATCGGGAAAAGAAAGCGCTGCCTGCCTCAAGGCTCTACAAACGGATCTCCCAACTTGGTCATGGGCACCTGAGCAAAAAAACCGGAACCTCGCCCTTCATTTCGCCTTCATTTCACATCAGGTTCCTACATGTTCTCTAAGGGTAGCTTCCCCATTCTTTCCAGGGATCCTTCTTTCTAGAAAACCAGAACAAAAACCCTGGGAAAGCAGTAGGTGTTTAAAAAGAACGATGGTTGAACAGAATGGACAAGGAATCCACCCCTAGATGTTCACTTCATTTCCCTTCATTTCACCTCATCTCCCGGGACATTTCCCTGTTCCACGGATTCCTTCGGTTCCCTTCCCCTGGCTTCGGCTTATGGAAGACCCAACCCCTCCATTGGGCACCCTGGAGGCGTTGGGTCTCAAACCTGGCTGTTTGAGGGGAGAAAATATGTCCAAGAGTGATAAACTCCCAGTAAAACCAACAAGGGAAAACAAAACAATTCTTAGGCAAATGGAAGAAAAATAATGGTTGACCAGGGACCCAATTTGGATGATTCTAGGGGGTGCTTCCTGTTCCATTCTTTTCAGCCATCGTTCTTTTCCAAAGCCAGATCCATTTCCCCAGGGTGTGTTTTTTTTTGAAAGAAGGATCCCTGGAAAGAATGGGGAAGTTACCCCTAGAATGATGGTAAACTCCCGTAGTACATGATGATGGCTATATAACCCCCTTTTTTTTCATGGAGCGGAACTGCAGAGTATACCAAAATCGTGAACCCCCAAAAAGGGCACCTGAATCAATCATGTTGCTAGTGAACTTCCCCCCCCCCAAAAAAAAAAAAACTCGGGTGATATCCCCAACAGCATGCGGTGCTGTTTTCGGTGCTCTTTTTAGTGCTTGCACCACCCCGCAGCCCTCGAGAACATCGTTAAGCCCTCGGAACCCTGGTGGAACCCTGGTGGAACTCTGGTGGAACCCTGGTGGCACCCTGGTTGGAACCCTGGTAAAACCCTGGTGGAACCCTGGTGGAACCCTGGTGGAACCCTTGTGGAACCTCACCTCAGGGCCGCCCCGGACCACCCCGGAGCCTATCTGGGCTGAGACCCCAAAGCTTTCAGCTGTTGGGGAAAAAAACAAAAAAATGCCGGCAAGAGCCCGTGCTGAATTTTCCAAGACCAGGAACCCCTCAGTGGACGGTTTGGGGGAAAAAAAAAAACAGGGATCCTTGCCTGAAAAACACCTGAACGCTGCCTTGTAAATGGTTGTGTCCAACTTGATGTTGGTGTTGAAAAAGCCAGGTTTCAAATGGTTGCAAACTGTATCTTTGAGAAAGAAACCCAGAAGAGGCCTGGATCGCCAAACCGGGCGATCGCCTTCTTGAAGACACGGAAAACCTGAAAAAACACGTGGCGCTCATGAGAGCCGGTGGTCAAAACACTTTACAGCAGCATTGTTGGGGGAGATATAGGCAGCTTCGGACATGACAATGGGACTGTCGTCCGAGCTGGAGCGCGCCTTTGTTGCTTGAGTAAAGAAGGAACGGCATGGATGTTAGCAACGGTCAATACTGTGGATGGACGAAATCCTGCACCACCTAAGAAACCGTGATTCCCCTGTAAATGCCAATAAACAATGGTTTCCAATGGTCTCAAAGTGGTGCAGGATTTCGTCCATCCACAGTGTTGACCTTAATTACTGTAGCAAGGGGATGGCCACGCTCACCAATTTCCTCAAATGTAAAGCAATGAACAAAACACCAGCCACAGTTGCTGGAAGAACAAAGCGATCGCAACGGGCGATCCAGGAAACAAACAAGCAAACAAACAAGCAAGCAAGCAAACAAACAAAACACACACAAAAAAACAAACAAAACAAAAACAGAAACAACTAAGCGCGAAAAAGACTTGCAGGAGTCCAAAGCCCATAAGTACTTCAAGGGGGTGCACATTGGTTTTTTTATTCTCTCTGAGCTACCTGGGTTTTGAGCACGTGGCTGAGCTCGCTCGCAGCTCGCAAGGACGTATTGCGGCGGGGCCCGGTTTCAACACTCCCAGAGGGTCCCTGCAAGTAACTTCTGTATGCTTTTGGAGGGGGGTAAAAAGGGGTCTATCTTATGTACTTGGACTCTCTGGGGTTGGTATTGCGGGGGGAAAACAACGAACCCTGCACTTGATGAATACTTCGGCAGGCTACACTTGACTCGGCTATGCTTCAAAAGGAACTGGGGTTACCCGGAAACCAAACCACCCAGGGGGTTTCCTAATCGGCTGGCTTTCGGCAGGCCTTCGACGTTTTGGGCCTAAGCCGAGAGAGTGTCTTGAGGATTCTGGTCTGATTCTCCAACGTAAGTACCAGCAAATGATGGTTTCATGGATGTTTGTCCACAGTAGGGTACTTGAAAACTACATTTAGCTATTGGACGGGTAAACTAGTCCCAGTCTCATGGTTTCAACTTCATGGTTTCAAGGTGGTGCACGAGTTGGATTTCGCCACCATCCACGGTATTTTGTCGCCCGATAGACTCAAAGGGCCTAAGAGATTCAGAGGAGTTTCCCGGGTTCCAAGGTCTAGTTGCGCTGCTGGAAATCAAGCGAAGGACGCAACGAGGTGATCATTCCAAAGGAAGACTGGCCTCAAACAGGTAAACAGGGGTGATCATCCTTCTGTTGAAAACGCTCATAAAGCGCCACAAAGGCTCCGAACATGAACATGACTGGTCTGACTAGGGGGTTTCAGGGCCCCTGATAGAAGTCGACCAAGGGGCAACCAACATCTCACGAGCTCGATGCGCTTCGGACGAACCATTGTGCTTCCTACTCAAGCAATGGAGAAATAATATTCCTTTCACATTGCCATGAAACTGCAACATGTTGACTGCCCAAGCAGGGAAATAAAAGGAGCCCCGTGCATATCGAACCGTTTTGGAATAAACCAATCATATTTGCCAGTGATGTTCATTTCGCTTTAAACCCCAAATGGGGAACAACAACGCAACTTCAGAAAATTGCATGATGTGTCCACAATAGCACCTGTAAACGATCTAACTGGACAACTCGCTGCATGGCCGCGTTGAACTTCCGTTGCCAACTCGGTGCGGAGGCAAATACTCGGTGCGGAGGCAAATAAGCTACATGTAAATCCGGCTTTAACATGGAATCCGAAAACACTGTGTAGAGTCATGTAAGAGGAAACACCTTTTGGGGACCCCTTTTTCATGTTCTCTCAAATTATGTTGCAAAGAAGTACATGGAGTCTCCTTCTGACCCTTAAAAAATGGGTCCGTTTGACCCCTTTTTGGGTAATGACCAACCATGTTTAAAGGGTCCTTAGGGAGACTCCAGGTACCAGTCACGGCCGTTTTCCTTGCCTGCAGAAAGAAACGGCTTCAAGATCACGCGACTTCTCCGTTGGGCGCGCCGGGGCGCCGAAGTGTGGCTCACTGAACCCTGCGGCATTGCACGAGAATCGAGACCGACGACCTCCGTTGGCTGGAAGCTACAAAGTCTTCAAGTCCGATCCGACTCCGAAAAGATGCAGCCTTCAAAAGCCGTTCTCCAATACAAGTCGCAGAGCAGAACCCAATCCTAGTCACGGAGTTGGGAATGGTCACCTTTGCCAATGAGCTGCAACCTTCAAAGGCACAATCTCCAATATCAGTGACGGAGTTGGGAATGGTCACGCTCGCCAATGAGATGCAACCTTGAAAGGCACAGAATCCAATCCTAGTCACGGAGTTGGCAATGGTCACACTTGCCAATGAGCTGCAACATTGAAAGGCACACAACCCAATCCTAGTCACGGAGATGGGAATGGTCACGCTTGCCAATGAGCGGCAGCCTTGAAAGGCATAATCGCCAACCACGTTGACGGAATTCGGCATGGTCACCTCTGCCAATGAGCTGCAGTCACGGAAGGCACAATCTCCAAGACAAGTCACGGAGTCGGGAATGGTCACGCTCGCCAATGAGCTGCAACATTGAAAGGCACACAACCCAATCCTAGTCACGGAGATGGGAATGGTCACGCTTGCCAATGAGCGGCAGCCTTGAAAGGCTTGTTTTTCAATCCTAGTCACGGAGTTGGGAATGGTCACAATTGCCAATGAGCTGCAGTCTTTGAAGGCACAATCTCCAACCACGTTGACGGAATTCGGCATGGTCACCTCTGCCAATGAGCTGCAGTCCCGGAAGGCACAATCTCCAAGACAAGTCACGGAGTCGGGAATGGTCACGCTCGCCAATGAGCTGCAACCTTGAAAGGCACAGAACCCAATCCTAGTCACGGAGTTGGGAATGGTCACCTTTGCCAATGAGCTGCAACCTTCAAAGGCACAATCTCCAATATCAGTGACGGAGTCGGGAATGGTCACGCTCGCCAATGAGATGCAACCTTGAAAGGCACAGAATCCAATCCTAGTCACGGAGTTGGGAATGGTCACGCTTGCCAATGAGCTGCAGTCCTTGAAGGCACAATCTCCAACCACGTTGACGGAATTCGGCATGGTCACCTTTGCCAATGAGCTGCAGTCACGGAAGGCATGAGCCTCAATCTGAATCACGTCTCCGGGAATTTCCAGTACACGAACATCATCAGGGTCGCGGCCGGAATTTGAGAAGCTGCTGCACGTCACCGGCTGGATGCTGAGGAAAGCCAGGACTTCTGTACCTGGAATGGCCGCTGAAACTAGCTCCTCTTTGCCCAATAGGGGCTTGCCTCCGACAACCACCTCCACCGAGCTCATGTTTCGCTTTGATTCATCTTCGCAGGGCAGCCACGCATGCAGCTGCCTCTTGAACTCACGGATGGTCGTGTGGGTGGACACTACGAAGGAGTCTTCCTCCCCAGACAGCTGTCGCACCGTAATCTCCCTGGCCATGGCTGGCATCCGTTCGGCTACCAAGTGCTCCAAACAGGTGACGTCAGGGTTCCGACAGGTTCTGTTTTCCCCTTCATTCTTTGTTGGGCACGCAGAAAATTGAGTCATCTCTGCTTCATTCTCATTGGATGTTAACCCACAAGTTGGCTGCTGTCATGGCAGGGGAACTAACCTCCGTTGCCTCAGATATGACCATGGCCGGCAAAGGACATATTCAACATCCAAGTAAACCAGGGGGGGGGGGGACGCAAAAGGTGAAGAAATGCAAGATGATTTAGACTCCAGTTTGAAAGCGTAACTAGGTCCTCCAGTAGAGAGGTCAGAATAAGAGTGCCCTTTGTTCGGTAGTCTATTTTAGTAGGGGCCCAGTAGGGGCCAAAAAAGGGTGAGAAAGGGCACTACTGGGAGACCTAGATAATGTTCGGTCTAAACGAAGAATATGGCTTCCCAAGATGAAAGTGCACAGGATCCCTTCCAGGAACATCGTCCAGGAACGAGCAGTCATTACCTCAACCCAAATAGTCACACCCACCGCTGGATGTTCTCCTAATACCCCACCCTCCCATACTGAGGATGGTTGCGAAATCCATTTCCCACCTTGAAACCATGGGAATGAAACCAGTTTTGTTGAACCATTTACCCTAAGGCTCCGATTTTGCATTGATCTTGGGCCCTAGTGTTGACCCCGGATTAAAAAAACCCTGGTTGATTAATAGAGGGGGTGCCCAGTTTTAGTGTGGATCTATCACTTTGGAGGGGAACACCCCCCTCAAAATGGGACGGGTTCTACTTAGATCCTGGGTCAACATTAACTGGTTGTTTCCCTTGGACCCTATAGGAAGGAATTGGTCGCTGTGGGTCCATAGGGCCCAGAAAACAGAGAAGCCCTCAGGGCACCAGAGAAGCCCTCAGGGCACCAGTAGAGAGGTTAGAATAAGTACCAACTTTAGTCTTTTTTGTCTATTTTAGGGGAACCGAATCTCCCCCAAAAAAGGGGTGAGAAAGGGCACTGAGGGACCTAGGTAAAGACACAAGCTGATGAATGAAGTCCCTTCTCATCAAGAAACCGGCACCCTTTGAAACGAGAGGAAAACAAACTGGTGCAGAACCATAGGAACCATAGGAACAGGTGCAGAAAGCGCCCAAGAAGCCTGCACAGCTTTGTTTCTTGCTGTGATTAGAGGTAGGCCCAGTTATAGCATGTATACTTCTTGTTTGCTTCACTTTGAGTCACTGGTAAAATGTAAAATGTATCCTAAGTCTACCCCAGTTGCTATTTAGGTGTGGTTCTGCGTCACGCCAAACAGATCGTTTTCTCGTCTTCAAAGCGCCCCAGTTTCACGAATACTCCATCGGCCGAATTCGTTTCCCTGTAAAAGCCACTCCAAAATGGGGGGGCCCTTCCAAGGGACACTTATGGTCTGAAAATAGGTTTGCCCCTTGGATGGCGTTAAAAGGATATGACAAGGACACCACCACCACAGGGGGGGGCCAATTTCGAGAAACACCCAAATAAATGTCTGCAACACATCATGGCTCTACTTATAAATCCCTCAAATACCAAAAAAAAAAAACAGTGGCAACAAGCGAATCTTTTCAACCTTTTGGGATGACTAAACATGCACCATGGGAACACCATGGAACATGTGTTCCATGGTGTTCCCATGGTGCATGTTTAATCATCCCAAAAGGTTAAACTAGTTTTTTCTCTTTTTGGGGGGGCCCTTTGGACAAGGGCTTGGGAAGATCATTGATGGACATTCTCAGTTGGCCATGGGTCAAAATCCAAAATGGTACCAAAACGGTTTTGACCAACAGCCATTTCCCCGGAGACTCCTTGTTTTGGGTGGATGAGCCCGTGGATGAGCCCGTGGATGAACCCCACACTATCACAGAACATCCTCCTGACACCCTCCTCCCAGCACCTGGGAAAAGGTCCCTGGAGCTTTCAGAAGTTCAGACACCCTCAGGTGCCTGGTGGGAAGGGTACCCAGTCCTTTAAAACCAACCAAGGGGTTTCCTTAAGAAGACCATGCTGCTGCGAGAAGGGACTTTTGGAATGAACCCAGTCTTAAAGGACACCGCTTGGACATTTCTCATTCCCATCGCAGGCCTCCATTTGCACTTCCGTGCCCGGGAAAAAATAATATACATATATTTCCAGTGATGGATTCCCTCAGGTAAAAAACCAGGGGAAAATATTTTCACAAAAAATGTTAACCAAGTGGAAGCAAGCCATTTTCAGACCAACTCAGATCGCGAAAAAAAGCTCCGCCTGGACGCCCCGCATCGCAACGGCGCGGCGCTGCCCGCAGTTCGCTCCCCCGCTGAGCCAAGCTTTCCGCAAAGAAGGCCGGCCAGGCCCTGGACAGCTTTGCACTCATGGCCTTTTGGAAAATAGATGGCCCTATGGAACAAAACCCATCTAAACCAGTGGAACCCATCTATTTTTAACCAGACTCACTAAAAAAGGACACCTATGTTTGCACTCAGTTGCCCAGTTAAAGGGAATGACCTTCCGGGTGTTGCGAATGAACAAGTCTGGATTCCCTTGAAGGAAACCATAGAGGATGGTGTTATTCATGTTGACATCATATTCAAGTGTATTAACAGGGGGGTGGTTTTTGGCCCCACAAGTGGTCTGAGTCCAACCGAAATCATTTCACGGGAGAAGCACCCCCCTATTCCTAAACGGGTTGGTTGTTTTTGGTCGACCTTACTCAGTTGCCCGGTTTCAGGATCCAAAAATACGTCCTTTTGCGGCCACGAAAGTCGGCATTTCAGGTGAATTTGCTTTGGGCAAGTGAGCACTTCAAAAGATCGGACGACAAACGCGTCGCCGAAACACTCCAAGTTTCAGGTCACCGAAAACAAGCCGTGGTTCTTGTGGGTACATGGAAAGCCATTCCAAACAGATTCCAACTTGTTGTTTACCACTAAAACCGTCTTCCCCAAAAAGTTGTGCAAGTCCGGGCACTCAGGGAGTGAGGGCAATTCGGGAGTCCAACTTGAAAACCCCAAAATGATCAAATCTCCGGCCGCCGGCCAAAGTCTTTGGCCCCGTTCCTTGCGCCGGAAGAACATCTCGCGAAGCCCACTTTTTGTCAGGGGCTTCCTTGGCTCAAAGTCGACACGAGAGAGCCATGCGGATTTCTGCAGTGAAGGTCAAATCCGAAGACAAGCGAACACATGAGTCACATAATCAAAAAAAAGATCGGTATTTAAACAATGGTAATCCCAGAATCATGTAAACATGTAAAGCCGGCCCCATGGCTGGGATTGTCCTTTACTACCCTCAAATTACACCGCTGCCAATATGCCTTTCCATCGCCGGTGTATCGATCCTCGCACTATTGTGATTCGCGAAGGTGAAACGTTCACTTGATCTGCACGAGTCACTAGAATCAATCAGCTGCTTTTGCTTGGAATCCTTATGTAGGGGGCCTTTGACATGGTGTTTCCCTTCATCTGCTTGAGTACAGCGGCAAACATGAAAAACACATCCAGCTGTGACAGATTCCCTTTCAAAGCAGGGGAAATCATAAGCCATCTTGCTTCAGCAAATGGAAGTCTCCCAAATCCATCTTTGAGCTCTTACTTACCCCTTAAAACTCCAAGCCCTGAAGAATTAATCTTTTACAGACATATAGCCCATGTTACCCAAAAAGTTGAAAAGTTGTGTTTTTTTTAAGAGGTAAGCTTAGACTGCGTGCAGACCAAACATCGCATCTGCAAAAACTCTGCGCGGTTCCGCCTCGCAGGCTTGCCGAGCGGCTGTGGTTGTCAAAACCGTTTTGGTACCATTTTGGTTGGAAGGTGCACCGCCCATTTTACCGGGGAGTGGGATGTTCGGGGTACGAAATTTTGACCCATGTCCAAATTATTTGGGGGGTTCCATTTTAGAACCTATTTTAGTGGGGATTAGTGGGGAGTGGGATGTTCACTGGGGGAACGATTTGGATTTGGACCCATGGCCAACTGAGAATGACTATTCATGATCTTCCCAAGCTCATGACTTGCCCAAAGGACCCGGAAGAAAAATCAGAGTTTAACCCTGGATGAACCATGCACCATGGGAAAACCAAAATGTCATAAGGTCTGGTTTTGGGCAACTGACAAAGCAAACGAAGTTGCTCTTTGCTGCCGCCTAGAATGATGACAAAAGCCCAGCACAATAATAAAGAGGCAACACACCTAAATGGTGGGCCTAGAAAAAGGTGCCGAGTTCCGATCGGATCGCGCCAATCGCTGGATCCTTCCAACCCGCGCGAGATTCCCCAAACCGCTCGGTAGCTATCCCTGTTCCGGTGGGGGCTGGCTAAGGGGGTGAAGAAAACAAGACCACAGCTTGGACATACGATTCCCGTCTCCACCACACATGGCTATGGATTAAATAGGGGAGCGCCTCAAAAGTGGTTGGACATGAATCCCAATCTATGATGTGCAAGAGACCTTCATCACGAGTTTAACGCTCGGTTGCCAAAGGTAGCAAGGGGTCGCTTCGTTTCCCCCAACATCACCTCAAAGGACACCGTTCAACCTTGGGAGATATATGGGTGCGTCTGTTTTAGGGGAGGCCCGTCCCCCCCCCCAAAAAAAAGAAAAAGAAACGGTTTCCCTGTGGTTTCCTTTCAAAAAAAATGGTACCAACTGCAAACAAAGGAAATCCAAAGGAAATTCCCTTGACTTCCCCCTAATTGGCGGTTTGGTTTGTTTCACAAGGCAGGGTTCAAATGCCCAAACCACCAATCTAAACCACCAAGTAAGCGGAACCCCTGGCTCTGGTAGATGCGGGTAAATGGGAAATAGGAAACCACCCTCTACAAGAGCCAGGGGTAAATGGGAAACCGACCCTTAACCACCAAACCACCAAGCTCCAAACCACGAATTAGATGGAAGCTGATTAAAGTCAGCTTCCTTCCAATTGGCGGTTTGGGTTGATGGTTTGGTGGTTTAGGAGGGGTGTCCGAAAACTGTGTACAAGAACCGGTTCAAGTCCAAATCCAAACCACCACCCAAACCCCCAACCAAGGATCATCATGAAGGGAACATGACTAGGTCTTCCAGTGGAGAGGTTCGAATAAGGGTGCCCTTTTTTTCTGTAGTCTATTTTAGTAGGGGAACCCTCCCAACCAAAAAAGGTGGGGGACCCTGATTCATTTCTTGGGGACCTCTGCAAAAAAAACGTCGCCCTTCGCGCCAAAGCGCCCGGAACACGCCTTCCCTCACACCTGGAGCCTCAGGCTGCGGCCTAGCGAAAAGTCAGGCGACGGTCACTTGGGTGGCTCGTCTTGTTCGGATTCGGACGCCCAAATCCGGGCCCAAAATGGTGGCCGTCCCTTCGGGTTTTCCTTTAAAGCCCCAAAAAAGACACACCCACTTAATCATTTCACTTTGGTGCCCCAAAAGTGCAGTTCGGTGAAGATTGGCAGAATTTCATGTACCACCGTTCTTTGTGAGAAAGGGAAACCAAAAGGAAAACCACAATTTTTGTGGAGTTCCCCCAAAAAGACACGCCCATGTTGCTTTAGTCATCCCCCTCACTTACTCAGCTAATTGTGGCATCTACTTTCACTCACAGGAATGGTACCATGGTTGGGCCCCCAAAAGAGGGGCCTTTGCATTGGGATGGACGATCCCCGCAGACATGCGAGGATACCAACTGGTGGATGTTGTCGATCCACAGCGGGAGTTGGGCAAGCTACTTCCCTATGGACCACAAAACCAGTGCGTTTGAACCCATCTTTTAAAATGGGGAAAGCCCCCCAATCAAAATCAAGTACGGGTTCAACGAAAAAAATCGGGCTCCCATGAAAGTTGGAGATGCACACACGACTTTCTGGCACACCCATAGGTGAGTCGGTAAGCTTTACAGGCAACACGCCTTTCCGAGGGTCTGTGTGCAAAGGGTTCCTCATCAAAAACAGGTCCCTCATGGCGAAACTCGGTCATGTTGACTCAGGAGTAGTAAACCCGTCCCATTGTTAGGGCGTTCCCTCCAAAAGTGGTCTGAATCCCCAAAAGGAATTGGACACCCCCCAATCAAAATCAACCAGGGCTTCTGCTTAATCCGGGGTTAACCTTAAATGTCTCACCGCCGAGGTCTGGCCCGCAAACGCCACACCTTCATGAAAAACTTCGCTCAAAGATTCTAAGACTAGGTCCTCCAGTAGACAGGCTAGAATAAGTTGGTACCAACTTTTGTCTGTCTATTTTGGTAGGGGAACCCTCCCCCAAACAAGAAACGGTAAAAGTTGGCACTACTGGGGACCTAGAAGGGCAACGCAACGCAAGGTGCTCGTCTCACGAATGTTCTTCAAAAAGCGAAGACAGTTCTGCCTTGCCAGTTCACACACCAGGCATCTGCATGTCTTTTTCCTGAGTGAGGCGTATCGCAAGCGGTCCACGCGGTGCCAACACTCCTTAAGGAGGAGGCCACTCGATTATCTCAGCCGCGCGGGACCCGTTGCGCGTCCAATGTCGTGCCGATTTCGCGCTCAAGCCCCCCGTGTAGGTGACCAGCCAGTGCTTCCATTTGCGTTTTCGAAACCCCTAGGAAAAAAAAAGAAGAACATATTTCCAGTAGTGAAATCGATTCCCTTTGACACCAATAGGGGAAAACAAAATGTAATAATAAAAAAAAAAAAAAAGCAAATGTCAGAAATTGCTTTTGAGTTCTATCTCTTAGCCCTGGGACCCGGGCACGAGATCGACCGTTCAACTGGACCCAAACCCACTGGGCAAGGCCTCGACGGTTGAGCCGAGGCTTTGCCCGCATTTGGTCTCTCAAACCCCAAGTTGAAAACAAACACCGACAGAAATAGCCACCGAAACGCGGAGCTCGGCTTTTGGGCAGTTCTTTCACCAAAACAAGGAGTGAACTTGGGGAAGTGGTGGTTCAAGAGACCTTGCCTCGCAGTTTCAACTCCGCCAACTGCTTCTGTGCAAAGTGCGGAGCAAACAGCGGAGCCAAACGCCGGGCCGTGTTCAGGCCCGC